TTAGACTAGGATAATATTGCAATTGGCTTCAAAAATTGGTTTTAAAAAATAAGGCACATCTGAGACCTGGCACAGACCCCATCTACGAGACCCCGACTACGGACCGTAAGTCAAGTTACTGACTGTAAACCAGATCCGTAGATGAAGGCACTTGGCAAAATTCACCAAGTGTGAAACTACAAATGTGGACTACGGTCTGTAGACCAATATACAGACCGTTCTGCATGTCCGTAGTTTCCAACAAAGACTAACTTTTTGGTACCTCTGAGCTACGGAGGGGTTTTACAGACTGTAAGTCTACCTACGGATCGTAAGTCCCCACCGTAGGTGGCCACTGAAGCCACTGTCTGAAATATTTTCTGTTTTTCGTTCTTGTTCGTTCTTAGTTCTAAAATCTTTTCGAGTGTGTTATGTATTTATTTTCGTACTAATTAGACATCCACAGATACCATGGCGCCTAAGAAGCAAGTGACCTACTCAAAAAGGGGAAAATCAAAATCTGTGGCGCATACTTTTAGGCTGATTAACGAACACACGGATGTGGAATCCTGCATATGTTCCACCGGCCACGAGGACATCTCCTACTGCACCTCGAGCTACCCGGAATACATCCCAGCAGGTGGTCACCGACGTAACCACTATGTCCCAGTCGGATGAGGAGAACACACTGATCGGGTCACCGGTTGGTTCTCCTTCCGATTCTAAAGATGGTTCTACTTCCAATTCAGGGTCTACCTCTGCTTCCAGCTCTGAGTCCGCCCATGCTTCTAGCTACTGTTCTGGATTCTCCACAGGCTCAGGTTCACAGGAAAAAACTGCCTCGTCTGATGAGGCCTCTAGTTCAGAAGAAATCTCGGTTCCACGAAACAACAACCCTGATCCAGTGAAAGGGGAACCAAGTAGATGGTGTGTTGAGGGGTAGTGGAAGATCTATCGGGATGCCAAAATGCTAAATGAGAAAGAGAGAATGGCCCGGCTTATTACTGAGGAGTGCACAGTCCTCACGGGGAATCTACACACCATGCCCGACATTCACCGTCTATTTAAGCTTCACAAGTGCGAGTGGATGGCTCGTGACCCCAAAATGTATAGCGAGGAGATTGTGCGTGGGAGTTCTATGTTTTCTATGCTGCCACTCTCTACGAGTCGATTGATAAGTGGTCCAAGCCCACAGCCTAGGACCCCCTCACCTCAACCATGGTCCAAGGTTTTTCGGTGGACATCTCGCATGCGACCATCAGTTGATTCCTCTACAGCCCTAGCCCTAATCACACTTGGGCGCTAAACACGGCCGACTTTGACTATAGATGGGATATAGTGCGGAGTGAAGCCTTCACCCGAAATGCCGAGCAGAGGGAGGCTTTGTTACTATGGCTCGCCAAGCACATCACTACAGATGGAGAGCATGCGGAGTGGGTCGCCACACTACGGCTGGGCATTCAAAAGGCCACCCTGAACTTGGTGGCCAAGTTCTTTTGGTTAGAGGTACGGAATAGAGTCTCACCAACCAAGGCTGATAATTTGGTGACGTGGGATAGAGCGGTCATGGTTGCAGCGTTGGTGGCAGGGTTAGAGATAGACTTTGCCCGCATGTTATTAGCGAAGATTCATGAGAGGGTTTTTAAGACCACTACTACCTACCTGTTCCCGTGTATGATCTTTCAGCTATGCAGGGACGCTGGAGTGCCGATCTGACACTGTGACAAATTGGTCCATACAACAGGAACTCTAGATATTGGGTTGATTCGGGACAAGGCGAATGTAGCAAAACCACGCAGAGGGCCACGGGTCGATGTACCAGAGAATGCTGATCTGGTAGATGCGGTGGAGCAGATGCAGGGTGATGATCCTACCCCTCCAGCCCACAATGATGATACCCCGGTTTCCTCATCACATGCTGTTATCCAGACCCCAAGCTCATCTAGAACCACTTCGCCTTCTAGAGCCAATGTTATACCACTGGCCCGAGTCCAGAAGTTAAAGGCTCAGATGGCCACCTTGTTGCACCATATTAAGCCCTGGATGCGGAAGTTGATTGTTGAGTCCTAAGAGAGAGTAGAAAAGAAGATGGAGGCGAAAATGGACCAAAAGGTCCAAGCAGTTCATAAGCGGCTCGATGCCTTCGAGTTAAGAGTACTAGAGAGGCCAACTCCTACTACTGATATGTCCTCCTTCCGGACCGAGCTAGCTAGTCTCCGGGCCGATGTTGATGCTATCCTTGCCACACCAGCTGTTGAGCCACAAGCCGCACCCTCGACATTAAGCAATGATACCGTCCTGGGTGCACTATTCAGTAGAGATGATGCGAAGGAGCAGCCCGAGCCTACACGTGCCCGAGGTAAGAGAAACTGATTTAATCGCAAAACTAAGCTCACAGAGGAGGAAAAGGCTAGAAAAAGGCAGCGCAAGTAGGAGAAGAAGGCATAGAAAGCCTGCATAATAAATGAGAAGCTCAGGCAGCAGAGGGCTAGTGAGATGGTTATTGGGGCGTCGAGTTCTATACCCGTTTCTGAGGTTCTGCCTACTGTAGCGGATGATGTGAGCACCACTGGGGGTGTGGTGAGACCAACAAATAGCACTACTGAGGGTGTTGTGACCAAAGATGCAGGCACTACTGAGGGTCGCCCCACTGATACTGTAGCGGAATGTGGGAAACCGGACCCACCCGCTTGTTGATGGTTCGTCGGCGCTATGCGCCACAGGTTTGCTTCACCCAAATCCATTACTTTTTACTGCTTTTTGTGTGCATTGGGGACAATTGCACCTATTTTTCATTAGGGGTGGGGTAAATGGATTGTGAGTGATAGGGTGAAGTCTGAGTAACCCAACTCATAATCCTCTCTTGGGGTTTTCTTGCCTTTGTTCTTTCCCCCCAAGAGACTGCTTAATTTATGTTAAACCGGCATGTGTTAGGATTGTATGTGTAGAAGCATGAGAACAAATGAAGCATGATGGCAAAAGGTTGTTGAAAAATATGATACCCGTCAAACAAAAAAAAATTGTGATATGTGCTAAAACTGGTAGGCTTGAATGATTTGAATGTGTTGGCTCTGAGTATGACATGATAATGAATCAACTTGATGGCATGACTTAAGCTAAAACTTGAACTGGGTA